CGCCGGCTGGCGCGGGCGCCGCTTCCTCCGGAGGAGGTTTCGACGCTGCTTATCTTTCCTGTGCTAAACCGGTGGAAACTCTGAGCTGCCCGCGCGGGCTCTCGCTCGGCGTCACAGGGCCGCGGTGCTACCTGCAGCCAGCCGCAGAGCGGGCCCGGAGGAAGCAGCCCCGCTGCACGGAGCGGGGAGCCAGGACCCGCAGCTGCACCGCGCGTGAGCGTCGCTCAGCCCCTGCCCTGGCCCTCCCGCAGCACCAGGCAAAGCTGCTGTGGGGGCGGCTCAGTGCCCCTGCACGGGGGCATGTCCAGGACACCCCAATCCATGGGTCTGGGATGTGTTTCTGGGGGACTTCAGGAGTAAAGCGGTCCTGGAACCGCGGGGCTCTCCCCCATCTCGCACCCAAGGTCTAAGCAGCACCGCAGGGTGGAAGGTGCCGTGGCCGGAGCTGGAGGTGACCGCAGTGCGTGACCTAACTGGGCAGATTAACTCTCTTTGGAGGTGCTGTTCAGCTTTGTTTTGTCCTCATGCTGGGCACAGCCCTGCCTGGAGCCAGGCACAGCTTGACCTGCCCCTTGCCACAAGGAAGGGAAATGGCAGCTGGAGGGGATGGGGCCGAGGCCCTGAACCAGCCACAGTCAGAGCTGAGACCAGGCAGCTCCTGTCGTGCTCTGCTGGCTCAAGGACCTGGCTGCTCCCTGCACTGTCAAGCCCATGTCTGGAGAGCAGAAGCAGCAGGTGCAGGAGGCTTCCAGGTGCAGGAGCCCTGCGGGGCGGCAGCGTTTGCACGTGTGACACCAGCAGCTGCTCCCCAGGCTCCCAGCAGCCCCCCCGCGCCGCGGCCTCGCTCGCTTTGTGTAACGTTACAAAGCAAAACCTGCCCAGGCTGCTCCGCGTCCCCGGAGAAGACTGATAATTAAACAAAAGCAAAATAGCCTTGGCATGAAACATGACCTTTCTGCAGCAGGCGACGGGGGAGGGAAGGGGGAGATTTTGCATATTTTTTTTGTTGTTTCCTTTTTTTTTTTTTTTTTCTGCATTGTGGTTGTTTGGTGGTGATCTCTGCACCAGGGAGAGCAGGGAGACCCTGCAGGCAGCAATGGGGGCAGAGGAGCATCCAACAACAGCATCCAGCGAGTGCCGCGGGGGAGCCCGCCGGGAGCATCCCCACGCGGCAGCCGGCTCCGCAGCATACCTGCATTTCCAGGGATGAGGCCTGGAAAACCCACTTCCTCCCTTGCCCTGCACCACCTCTCTCCATGGCAGCCCTTAACATTGGTGCGTGGGGGTTGTTTTCCAGCACTCTCCACTCTGTAGGGAGCACTGCATCCCGCTCAGAGGAAGGGGCTACGCGCTGGGTTTTCCCTCGGCCCCGGGTACAGGAGGTGCCTTCCCAATGGGAGAGCGTCCAGCACCTGGGCCTGCCTGTGCCCCCTCGTCACACCCTCCCCGGGCCGCAATCTCCTGCTCCCTGCACAACAAAAGCCTGTCGCAAATTAATCTTCAACCCGGATCATTACCTTCGTGGTCATTACGCTGTGTCCTACCTGCCGCGGTGTTAATGATTAACGCGGCAGGTTTTCCCCTCGCCACCCCTTCCCTCGCCTCCCCGCAGCCTCTGATCTCCACTGCTCATACACTCGCTCCATCTGGGAAAACCACAAGCCCCGCGGCTCCTCAGCCCACTCATCCCAGGAACGTCATCACACCGTCCCCCGGGAAAACCAATTAAAAAGAGCGAAGGGGGGAGCTCGTTTCCTAAGGCGCTGAGTCCTGCCCCTCCGAAATCGCAGTGCAGCCTCCCTGTCCGCCTGGCAGGTCCACCCTGGGCACTGGCAAGAGCCGGGATTTTGTCACGGGCCTCCAGCAAGTCCCTTATCAGCCTGCACACCCAGCCGAGCCTCCCTCCAGCTCTGCGCTTTCCCAAGAAACCAAACCCAGCCCAGGAAGCGCAGGGCTCCTTTCCAGGGAAATGGGCCTGTGCCACAGAGCCACCCGGCCTCTCCAGAGTGGCATGAGTAACATCCATGCTTGGTGCCCGCTACCGTCACAGCGGGTCAGCAAGGAGCCAAGCTCTTGTAGTCCCACAGGGCGGTGGGGATGCGGTGACAGGGGGTGAACAGGGCTGTCCCTATCCCCTATCCAAGCAGGACATGCAGCTCTTTGGGTGCTTGTGCCCTTCCTGAGCTCCAGCCCTCACTCCTGTCCACAGCCCCATGCCCGTGAGGAGCCGGGCACTCTTCCTCTGTGCTGTGCTCCAGCCTCTTCCCTATTGCCCAGCCCCATGCGGGAACATGCCCAGTTCCCAGCAGGGGGAAAGTCCATGTTTTGCCTCAAAGGGGCGAAGTTTCATGGATGATCAAGGTCCTGGGCCCCCACAAGGGGGTTAATGTGGTGCCAGTGGGTTGGGCGCTCCAAGGGCTGTGGCCGTGGCCGGCTGCAAGCGGCGCCTGCAGGAGCAGGGAGCAGAGGCGCCGCTGTCGGTTCCAGGGCCGTTCCCTGCCAGGGGACATTTCCCATCCGCGCACAACTGCGTCACGGGTGCGAGAAGTGGGCACACAACGCGCACGTGGGCGCTGCCACGCGCTGAGCAAACCCGGGGACGCCTTTCCTGGGCGCAATAAGGAAGTTTGCAGTTACGTGTCCCTGGGGGTGTTTCGGGCTGCTTTGAGGGCGAGTCCCCCCAAAGGGGGGCAGCGCCACGGGGTGTTCTTGCCATGACAGATTATCCGCGTATCTTCAAGGGCAGCTGGAGCAGTCCCAGGGTTTCCAAAGACCCGGTGACTTGTGGTGGCGCGGGGAGGCTCCGATCGCTGGAGGATGGCAGGGAAATGTGCTCAGCAAATGTGGCACCACTCTGGCCTTGCCCCAGCTTCACAGGGCACCGGGTGCAGGACCTTGGGTGGGACAGACTCTGTGCTGGGTGCTCTGTCCTCGCCATTGCCCTGGTGCGATAGCCATGTAGAGCTGGGCCTGGCATGGGACCGGCAAAGGGCACTGCCAAAACAGTGCAGAGCCCCTCCTGAGCCACGTTTGCCTCAGGAAGCTTTTCCCAGTGCTCAGGAGGCACACGACATCGGGCTGGGAAGAGGCGTGGGGGCCACTGCAGCGTCAAGGCCACAGGGAGGAATTGTCCTTCACCGGTGCCGAGCAGCCACCCTACACGGGAGGAGGCGAAACTGGTCCTGCGGGTTTCCCTCCCCGAAAGAGGGGAGGACAGAGCCGGCCTGGGCAAACAGCACCAGGGCAACCGCCCTGCGTGGCCAGCGAAACTCGCCGGGGGGCCGGCCGGGCGGCGGCAGGTCGGGCGCAGAGCCCCGGGCGGCAGCAGCCAGGCCACAAAACCCCAGCCTCCCCCAGCCGCCCGCTGGGGCCTTTGCTGGGCAGCTTTCCCATGCTGGGTGGGAGGAGAGGCACAGCCACTGTCACCTTGTCCCCAGCTGAGTCACAGGGTGGGGACCTGGCCCCGCTGCGGCCACGACCAAGCACGTGAGGTAAGGTGGCCTTGCTGCCCACAGCGTGGAGGGAGATCAGTCCTAGCACCACTGGCCACATTCTTTAAAGGGGCTTTTTCTTTTCAAAGGAAAGGAGAAGGCACCGCCAGCACTGGGCTCCAGCAGAGGAAGGGGAAAACGGTAGCAGGAAGCAGGACTTTCCCCTGCAGGTTCATCCAAGCGAGCACGGTGGCGCTGGGACACACGTGCCCTGCTGCAATTACCAGCTCCCGTAAAAGCCAGGGCAGAGCCAGCCCCTGCTGTCACGATAAGCTGTTCCTGGGAAAGGTGCTGCTGCAGGGAGGGCACCTTTGCAAGCCCAGCTGTGCTTGTCGCTCCCTCTTGAGTCAGCACCACAGCTCCGGCCCCTTTCCTTGCCCCGCTCCCCAACCCTGTGTTGGCCCCTCTACAGCCCCCGGACTGATTCCTCTCCCCCAGCCATGGTGGTAGAGTCAGAGGTCTTTATTGAAGTACAAGAGATCAGCTCAAGAAAATAATTTATATCCAAAAATGAACAATTCTCACCCCCTCCTCTCCCTCATTACGGTCTAGAGCTGCTGCCCCCAGGCCAGGGGGTTCTGCCACACAAATCACAGCACAGGGCCCGATCACGGCCCAGGGAGCAGGGACCTGTAGGGTTGCACATCACACCAGGGCAGGGAGCAGAGAGCAGCCCTGAGTCCTTCCCAGGACCACATGGAGTGGTCCCAGCCCCAGGAGAAGGTGTGTTTGTCACCTAGACTTGGGCTGGCTCCGGCAGCAGGACTGGTCCCAGCCTCCATCTCCCCTGGCGAGGGGCTCATGATCATGGGCTGGCACAGCACGAGCAGGCAGGGCCCTGGGGACAGCAGGGGAGAGGTCCCACGCCACCAGGGCTGGGAGCAACAAGTCTCAGCATCATCAGCAAAGCCAATAAAACTACTTCTCCCCCACCGACTTAAAAAAAAAAAATCTCTGTACAGATGCATTGTGCCATATCAGTACAAAAATATACATATGAACTCTACAGATCCCAGCTCAGTAGATCAAACCAGCTATAAAATCACAGTGCACGGGACAGCATCAGGCCCGGGGAGCGATGGGGACCCCCGGGAGCACCGTGCTGCAGACGCTGCCCACCGGGCAGGTCGCCCTTGAAGCTGGGAGGTCACTTCTCATCCAGGCGGCAGTACAGGTACATGGCAACTGACATCGAGGCGAGCTGTGGGTGGCAAAAAGCAAGTCAGCTCCCCTGCCAGCTCCCCCCTGCCCTGGGGGCTGGGGTTCAGCTAGACCCCCCTTTTTGCACTTTGGCTACTCCTCATCTTCACATCTTCCTCCCTCTTGCTTAAGAGCTCCCTGTGCAGGGGACTGAGGCCACTTATATAGCAGAAGTGAGTCCAGGCCACAGTCCACAGCATCACCCTGAGCCTCCCCAAGGAGGAAGAGCCCAGTGTGCCTGCAGAGGAAGGCTTGGCCGTCACCTTGAGGATGACAGTGGTCCACAGGGCCCCTCCAGCATCTTCTCAAGCATCGGCCACCCAGGCCAGCCCTAGCCCTGTGCCCATCCCCAGGTGCAAGGTGTTGAAGCGGTGACACTTGGGCACTCACCTCCAAGACCGCGATGCCGGCTGCCACACCACCCACCACGCCTGCGTTCTTCCTGATCTCGGTCAGGAGCTGTTGAAAACAGCCCTGCAGGAAGCAAGAGAGGAGTGAGGACGAGTGCAGATTCCACATTGCTGGCGTATAGCCCCCAGGAACACACACCACTTGGGATTCCCACTGCCCCTCATGTGCAGGGAGTTGCTTTGGAGCATCTCAACTCAGCCACATCTCAGATCAAAGCACAACACTGGGGGAAATAAGCCCTAAGAGGCAGGGAGATGGCCAAGTTTACACCTCTGGGCTCAGCTCCAGGGTGATCCCTCCTCCCCTACCAGGGCAAACCCTCGACAGGCTCCGCTAGGCAGCGAGCGCTGCTTGTGCTTTCATACCGGGACGTCGCTTTCCTCAGCAAGGGTCTCATTGCATGGTTGCTTTCCAGAGCAACAGGGCGCAGGGTAAGATTTGTACTTCTGAAGCCAAGGGGACTCGGTGAGGTCTGTGTAGTTATTTAAGCCGCAGCAATGGAGCTAAGGGGGGAGAGAGAAATAGTGAAAACATCCTCCAGGTCTCCCGAGGATCCACATCCCCACCAGTCAGTCCCTGTCCAACCCATGGTGGGGGCACCCAGCTTCAACCCGACTCTGTGGGGATGTTCAAGGATCTTCTTGGGGGCATGTGGCATGCAATCCAGCATGGTTATATCCCAAAAAGGCAGACCCCAGATTTCTGGGAGACAGTTACAGCCTAAGGATTGGTGGAGTGCACCAGGGTGAGGACCTTCCCATCCCACCAAACCCACAGGGCTACATGCCACCAGAACACTGCCAGAAGGACCCACAGCTCAGCACACCTCATTCATGGTGACGTTCCAGATCTGCGTAAGGCTTTCGTCCTTCCCAAACTTGTCCTTCAACAGAGGAGCCACTGTAGCTGTCAGCAGCGTTTCTGCCTGGAAAAAGAGGCAGAAATCCACCATCAGAGATGTTCTGAGGAGCATTGTGGAGCTAAAAGCCTCCAGTGCCCATCTCATGTCCCAGCTGGCAGGGTAGATCAGATATGGAGTAAGGACCTCCTGGCCTTGCCATAACTGCAGCCCAGGGTCACTGACACCTTCCCAGGGACATTGACACTTTCCTCGCACACCAGCAAGACTATTTATGACAAGTGAGTCATTCACTAAGCAGCACAAGCAAGGAAGCCAGGTTGCCTAATGACGTCTGCCTTGTGGGTGGCTTCTCTGGTGTCTAATGAGGTGAAGTGTGTTGGTGTTGAAGTAGTCACCTCTTCCTGGATGGGTTCTCTAGCATCTAATCAGGAGTTGAGTTTGCACAGCATGAAGCATTTGGCACTTCCTTTTCAGTATTCTTACTGAATATTCTTACCCTCAGAGAAGGAGGGGGGCTAGTCCAACACCAACTAAGACTTAATGTGTTTTTGTTTATTTTGCTTGTTTGCTTTTCTTAAAGCAAATGTCAAATTCAAATCATAATCCTCACTTCTACAGGGTTATTGAAACTCCTGTTTTCTGCGCATAATCCAAGCCACAAACATAAAACAAGTCAACACATCAAGCTAACAAGACACAGCACATGCACTTGGCTTTCCTGGGCAGTCTAGAGAGCCAAGTGCTGTTTGGCCAGGGCTGAAGATGAGCAGACAGCCCTCAACTTTTAACCAAGGTGGCCCAAAGGGGATGGAACAGGTCTCCAATTAGCCCAGCCCCAAGATTCAAACATGGCACTCACGAGACCGGTGTAGACAAGAGCTACCACGGCAGCGGCGACTTCAGCAATGAAGATGATCAGCACCACTGTGAAGAACTAGGAGACACAAGGGGAGAGAGGTCAGGAGCAGTCGTCATGGTCCACAAGCCACCAGGGTGAACTGCTGTACCTGCTCATTTCCTAGGAGCCTCACCCAGGCCTCAAAGTCATTTTGTGGCCTCCTTCTCTGCTCCAGAGACAGAAGCAACATGGCTTGGAGGTCTCCTCAAGCCCTGCATCTGCCTCTGAGCATCTAAGAGTCCTTTTAGGAAACGTTTCTGCCACAGAGGAAGGCCCAGAAAAGACATCTCCCTGGAGAAGTGTAACCCTCCAGCCTCCCACACCAGAAACCCGGCTCAGGTGAGGCTTGATAAGGATCTAAAGCATTGCTGAGCCTAGTCACGTCCTTACCAACATCAGGAGACACTTGCTCTCCTTCTGGGCTCCACAGCACCCCAGGAAGCCAATGATCAGCAGGATGGCACCGATGACAATGAGGAAGTAGCTCACATTCACAACCTGCAGGAGGCTCGTGGAAATCGCCCCAAATATTTTTAAGAAGGAATCTTCATCCACTACGACCCAGATTCCAACTCCTAGCAGAACCGCACCACCGAGCTGGTAGAGAAGAGACACATGAGCTCATGGACAGCTAGAGAGTGGGAGCAGGAGTTATCAGTAGGGGAACAACTTTATTTTTCAAGAATTTTTGGCACATTTCAGCCTCTCCTGGAGCACCCAAGTGCAGTTTGAAGGCAGCATTAGCTGTCCAGCAGAGCCCAGGCCGGCAGCGAGGACAGCCACTGTCTGGAGCTAGACCACCCAAAAAAACAGAAGGCCTTAATATGGGGCAGGCAAGATGCAAATACAGTTGCTCCAGACCTGGAGTGGAAAAGAGGGGACTCAGTTCTTCAGAAGCAAGGAGGAGCAGGACAGGACCTTGCCAGATCTCAGGAGGCTTCCATGCTCCTTGCACCCTGCTGCACCTTCTCCCCCTCGCCATATGCTGCGGCCCCAAAGCCGGGCAGACCACCCAGGGGGATGCAGGAGCCAGGCTCGGCCCAGGGCACCGCAGAGGCTCGGGGCTCCCAGCAGCCCTGTCCAGGACTGTGCCCCATTCCCCAGCCAGCCCATGGCCTCGCTTTCCCGAGGCACAAAACCTAAAGTTTTCTAGATCGTGTTCCCCCAAGCCAGTGTGTATGAGGGCTGTTTGCAACATACCCCCCTACCCCCCATCCTGCAGGCTCAGGCAGGGAGCACTTTTCCACTCCTTTCCTTCTCTCCTTCCCCTGCCCCTCCAAGTTTTACTCAGGGCACAGCAAGCACCTCCAGCCAGGCCAGGGCCCTGAGGAAGGGGAGCAGCAGCCATCTTGCTGTCTGCCTTCCAGGGAAGCAGATGGAGTCCCTGCTCAGCATTGCCTCTATTCCCACATCCCCGATCTTTTCAAACTGCTATTTATATGGTTCTTGGGCAGAAAAGGAACTGGGAGCTCCAGGGAAGGGGCAGCCCTGCTCTCTGCCAGCACAGCCCACACACGGGCTGGGGAGGTGAGCAAGGAGCTGCTGCAGGAGCTCCTCTGCTCCCCAGGCTTTCCTAGGGCAACGCCACACTTGGTCAGCCTGGCACCCTGCCTCCATGGAGGCACCTCAGGGCACTGCAGGCTCCAGGCATCCCGCTCGGGCACCAGGAACCATCTCGCTGCCAGGGCAGGCGCTGCCGCCAGCTCCCTCCCGGCTGCAGGAGCCCTGCTCACCCGGTTGAGCAATACTTGGCCCCAGCCACTCCTACGCACCTCTCAAGATCAGCTCAAGGCCATTTCCACGGCGGCCGCCCTGCCCAGCCCTGCCCTTGGTCAGGATCTCACCCAACCCATGCACCAGGACATCCACCCTGCAGCTTCAAGGGGGAGTATTTCGAGCTTCTGGGCTTCACTTTCCACTCCTCCCTTTCTAAAGAGGTGCCAGTCCAGGCACCCTTCCAGGTGGCTTGATTGCTCCAGCAGAGTCAAAGCAGCTGCAAGGGACCTCTGCTACCATCCCCAGCTGCACATGCCCCAGGAGCCCCAACACCCCCAGTCCCGCCACACACCCAGGCTGCTGCCCTGGGGAGATGGGCACCCCCAGCAGGGACCCGCGAGTGGTCCTCTCCAGTGCCCAGCGCCTCCAGCCACCCTTTCCAGGCAGGGACACCTGGGTTGATGCAACAGCCACTGTCCCCAGCGCAGCCCCTGCTTCATCTCAGCCCCCTGCTTCACCGCAGCCCCCTGCTTCACTGCGCTCTGGACTTTGGCCACCACACCCCAGGGGACACTCGGCAAGGTCCTGCCAGCCCTGGGCTCTGCTGCCCAGCCCGGGCTGCCCTGCCCCGCCACAGGGAAAGACTCCCAGCCAAGAACAGGCAGCCACCAGGGCTGGTGCCCCACAGGCTCCTAAAATCCCGCCAGCACCTACCTGCTCAGAGCCCCATATTGCTCCAGGAGGGAGCAGAGCCCATGGCAGCCAGTGTCACCCACCCCATCCACAGCACAGCCTCCCCGGTCGCCACCTGCTCCAGTCTCATCCCCACTTTGGGAGGGTGGTTCAGGTGGGCATGAGGTTTACATCCCCCCTGGGCAGGGGGCACCCCCAGGCCAAGCAGAGCCCAGAAGAGCACTTACAAAGATGGTCAGGTTGAAGAGGATCATCATGACCTTGATGAACGTGAAGAACCCCATCTTTGCACCTGGGGAGAGAAGAGATCTGTGATGAGCAGGAGCCCGGGGGAGCTGCAGGAGGACAAGCTGAGCCACGGAGCAGCTTTGCAGTGAGGGGCAGCAAAGTCACCTCCCACAGCAGGGAGGCTCCTCGGGGCGCACCAGGGCCCCCAAGCCCAGCTCCAGCCTACCTGAGCAGAGAGCAGCTCCCAGAGACTCGGCCAACCCCAGTGCAGCACCTGCGCCACCTGCCCGCCTTTAAGCAGGTGAGTCCCTACGTGGCAGCCGCCTCCTCCAATGGAGAACGCACCGTGCCCGGCCCAAGGCAGCGCCCAGCCGCCCACGGCCACCCCCTGCGCGGCGACAAAGTGACTCGGCCACGCGGGGTGCCTGGTGGTTGCTGCCCTCTGGTGCCAAAAGACACCGGCCGGAAGGGCCGAGCGTGGCCGGGGTGGCTGCCACCTGCATCCATCACTGTGGCCTCTTGGCGCATCCGATGTCCCATCCTCCTGCCCCCGGACACGGAGGGCTGATGCCCCCATCACTGGGAATATGAGCAGGCAGCAGGGCTGGCGAAGGATGGCTTGTGGGTGCCCCAAAACCCGTGTGAGCCCCACTTCCTGCTCCAAACCTCATTCCTCCACACAGAGAAGCACGACAGGACCCCCTGGGGCTGGCAGCACGCTGTCCCCCTCTGCGCCCTGCCAGCCAGGGCAGGCACAGGGACCCGCTGGGGACGCGCTGCCGCGTGCGGCCGCGCCGGTGCCGGTTGCTGTCACAGCACGGCGCTCTCGGGCG